ATTACCTCCCCCCAGAATTCGACCCCCACCAGTTTGCATACCGTGCAAACAGATTCACAGAAGATGCCATCACCCTCCACTCGGTGCTGAGTCACCTAGAACAGCGGCAGAGCTACGCCAGAATGCTCTTTGTGGACTACAGCTCACTCGCCCATTGAGAGCCTACTAACTTGCTGCATCACAGTATGGTACGGCAGCTGCACTAAGTGCCTGAGTTCTGTTATTTAGTGTCACTTTGAAAGGACACACATCCAGCATTGACATATAATTGTTCTTTCAATTTTTGATAAAGATTACAGTGAATTGAGATGTAACTTGGCCCAGAGGTACGGTAGGACGCCCAGAGTAAGAAAGTGTTGAAAGTTGGACATCAACTATTATGGATGATTTTTAATGAATTTTTGAAATTTCCATAATTGTAGTGTATTGGCTGTATTGCATTGAATACAAGTACACTTTAATTTCTGAGGAATTCTACAGTAAATCTGGCTGAAACTTGGCACACAGGTACAGTAGGTGTCCCAGAGAAGGAATCTGTTGAAAGTTGGACATCAACTACTCAGGATGATTTTTCATGAATTTTTGAAAATTGCCATAATTGTAGTGTATTGGCTGTATTGCATTGAACACAAGTACACTTTAATTTCAGAGGAATTCTACAGTAAATCTGGCTGAAACCTGGCACACAGGTACAGTAGGTGTCCCAGAGAAGGAATCTGTTGAAAGTTGGACATCAACTATTCAGGATGATTTTTAATGAATTTTCGAAAATTGACATAATTCTATTGTATTGGCCGACTGCATTGGATACAAGTACCCTTTAATTTCTGAGGAATTCTACAGTAAATCTGGATGAAACCTGGCACACAGGTACAGTAGGTGTCCCAGAGAAGGAATCTGTTGAAAGTTGGACATCAACTATTCAGGATGAATTTTAATGAATTTTTGAAATAAACATAATTGTAGTGCATTGATTGTATTGCACTACAATATGAGTTTACTGTGATTTTTGCGTAATATTACAGTAAATCTGGGTAAAACCTGGCCCAGAGGTAAAGTAGGTGTCCGAGAAGAGGATTGTGTTGAAAGCTTGGCATCAACTTTTAAGAATGATTTTTAATGAATTTTTGAATATGCAACCAGACTGTCACGATGGCTGTATTGGGCTGTTCCATTGTAATTTGTGTGCGCGCGTGCGTGTGACTGTTCACGCGCGTGCACGTGTGCGCGAGTCTAGGCTTTCAATCAGGATATAAAGCGAAAAGGCGCTACCGTAAAGACTGGTGTAAACGCGCAAGGAAATTTATGCGGCGGATAGGAGGCGGCTGGCTTGACCGCGGCTCACAAATGACGGCTCACTTTACCGCAGTAGACGAAGGGCACCAGCAGGAGGACCAGCGCGCAGAGAGCGGAGACAGCACCAGCGGAGGCTACGAGACGGCTGTGCCGATTTCCAGTTTTAAAGAAGCGGCGGGCGGAGTTGAGAGCTCTGCCCACCCGGGGTAAGTCTCTGACTTATCCCTTTTTTATGAAGTAAACCTGTCTGGAAAGAATAGTGACTGCCGCTTCCTCTCCTTCTTCAGCATATCGGGACGTGAGTGCGGGAGGGAGGCGAGGACTCCGCTGGTTCCTTTGGTTATACCACTTGCTGGATTTCTTAGCTCCCTGGGACTTTTAGGTCGTGGCGCAGGCCACTGGACTTTTAATATTGTGTTTTATTGACTTTTATTGTGTTACCCCTTGGCCAAGGTTGTTTTAATTCATTTTGCATTTTTAACTATTTAAATATAATAGATTATATTTTAATTATACAGATTTTATTCGTGTGCTTTCCCTTGGCGACTCCACTGCTCAGTCCGTTTGGAGGAAGGTTTCCTTCCTTCGCACGAAACCCCTGTGGAAGTAAAACCAGCCTTCCGGCTCCGTTACATAAATATGCCGACAGGCACATATAAGCAGCTTTTCCTCCACATCAGCAAAAAACAACAACGTTTGCTCCACGGGAGAAAAAGCTGCCCTTCAGTAATCAATAGTGGATCCACACAAACAACGATTCAGAGATCAGCTGCTGACCGTCAACTTATCTTTGCTGAGCTGGTCACGCACGTACACAAACATTAAATGGCCAGCTTTCCCAGCCCCTGCTTCCCAGTTCCAGCTGGAGCCGCTCCATAGTTCCAACTAAACGGAGCGGCAAATTTGTGCTGTTTGTGGTGGAACTAACCTGTACACAGCTGATGTTAGCAAGGAAAACATTACAGAGTGCTTCACTTACCTTTCACGGAGCTTCCCACAGGAGACGATCACCTGCGCCACACAGTTCATGAAAGTGAAAGTAAAAAAAAGATGGGAGTAAACACCCAGCCCAACACATGACACAGACAATAAAAGATACACTGTGTTTTCGTGTGCGTTATTATTTAAGGTGGAACTTCAATTTAAATCCACAGACCAAAAATTCAAATACACAAAGATAACTTTTCATAAGTTAGTGGGTTAAAGGGTTAATCTATGAAAAATAAGAAGCAGTGCGAGAACACAAACCTCCACCAGGCAGCTGTCTCTCTGGGCAGTATTTGCTTTTAAGGGTATTGTAATTTATTTTGTATATGTCAATTTTGTTTTCTTTGTTCTTTTTAAATGCCCTTTAAGAAGTTTCAAAAGATTTATCAAAGGTTGACCAGACATTACACCGTTAATAAAATGTCAGAGGTCCAAAGTAATGTGGTATTTAGAATCCCCATTTATATATTATCCCTTATATTCCTATATGTTGTCCATAGAAACACTGGCGGCAAGAGACAGTTTTAAACGGCTCTATATGGCACTATTATCACTCTGACTTTCAGATCAATATATTGAACTTGAAAGCAAATGTGACGTGTTATAGTAAATATGTACTTTCTATAAATGAATACCACACTTGTATAAATCACTCAATGACAGAAAATCATCAAACAGAAGGCTGTTAAGATCTGGTCTGTATTCTGAACAGAGAATACAGACTCTATATTCAGACTCTAACGCAGTCTTTAATCTCAGTTATAAAAATCCAGAATGTGTTTCTGAGAAAGATTAGATTCACTAAAAGGCAACTGCTTCTCTTTTCAGGAAGTTCAAACACTAACAAGTTTTTAATGTGAACATGTTTGTACCCATAAATCAACACCCGCCCAGCATTTTCTAGAAGGTTTTAACATGGCTAAAGAGTTTAAAAACCTTTTTTGGACTTCTCTTATGATACACTCACATAGAGAGAACAGGACCAAACGTGTGCAAAAATCTAAGGTGCTGGTGTGCTTGTGGTGGTCGTAAGCACAGATGTCAATCAACAGACTTTTTTCTTATTGTAATTAAGAGTTTGTCAGCATATTTGAGAGGTGGCATTAATCCAATAATAGTGTTTAATCTTTTATTAATCTCCATGTTATGTCATGTTCACAGAAACTAAATTTAAAGCATGAAAGTTGTGATCATGAACTTTACCCAAAGAGGGCAGTGTTAGCTCTCCTTCACCCAGGTAACTTGAAGAGTAACAGTTATACCTGAAGCCATCATATTAAACACACATGACTGGAATTTCCTGATATATTTATTTGTGAAGCGTAATGTGCATTATTTTTTTATAAAAATGGGTCCATAAATTGTAATTAAACTTCGACCTCTGACCTCTGACCTTATAAATATATCAGTTGATCAATTGATCATAGATCCCTGACTGTGTGCAGTTTTATTTGCTGACAACTGTTGAAGCACCATCAGAGACCGCCCTGTCCTGTCTTCCACTTGCATTGTTTGAGCTCCGAGGCTGAAAACAGATCTCTGATTGAGGAAAGAAGTCCTCCACCTCAAAGGAGTGCTCTGTGGCAGAGGTGCGATCTGGTGTCCTTTTGTTCTGGCCTGAGATCACAGACTAACTCCTGCCTGACTCAATGTGAAGCCACAGACTCTGGGTGTGTCAAACCACTGACACATGTGGTATAAGGTGTCCTTTAAAACAGTAAATCACAGGACTGTGTGTCAGGACAGAGCTGACTACTGGAGCTTTGATTCTGAGCCTAATTTTATTTTCAGAAGCTGGTGGTGAGATTCAGGTACCAACAGCCTCTTGTTCAGGTTTGTACATCAGTATCAGACATTTTTTCAGCTTCTCCATGCAGGTCATATATGAAGAAATCTGCAGTTATATCATGAAGTTTTCATCATTCAGAGAATCCACAGAATGAAGTCGGTTTGGCTCCCGAGCCTCTGGTATATAATCTGCTGATGGCCGTTTAAGCTTCTGCGCTTAGGTGAAGTTTTCATGGTGGTGACTGTCCTCTAGTGGTCACCATTAGTAACTACAGTAGGTGTGGCACACTGATGGTTAACACGCGCTGAAAATATTACTTAGAAAAAAACTATAGTTTAACCAGTGCACTAAACTAACTCTGTTTGAAGTAGTTCAAACCACATGAAGCGCTAATAGCTTCAGTGGACTTGGTTGTACTTGAACTTCAGTCGTTCGGCTGAGGTAGACTGGTGGGCGGGTCTCCTGTATCAGGTCAGCCTCTGTTTATTTCCTGGTTAGTTAAACTGGCTTTTGTCATGTTTACGTGGATACTTATACTTTGGTAAGTGTTTGTTCGTGGTTTATTCTTTGCTTTTGTTTGCAAAGTTGCTCGTTTGTTTGTAAGAGCGGATCTGTAGAGTGTTTATTTTATGTGATTATCAGAGCCCAGCGTGCGGACTGGTTAAGTATGATGGAGAGATCTGTGAAAGCACGCGCGCTGATAGAAGTGTAGCTTTAACAAGGGAACCTTTTAAAATCGTATCTTGAGGCCAAACCATTAAACTTGTAAAGCGGTTTCTATCAGAAAGTGAATCTGGTGACAAGGAAATTTGGATAATGACTCAAAATAACGTCCCGGAATGAACAAATGCCTGGAGCGAGTAAATATCTGCTCGGTGAAAAAAACAACAACCCTGTCAGCTGTTTGGATGCAGTGTGTTTTTATTCAGGGCATAAAGATACAGTGGTGTCAAACATGCGGCCTGGGGGCCAGAAACAGCCCACTGGACGACTTTGCACATTTCAAAGTTTAAGACAGTTTAACACAGGCAGGGAAACTGTGCTGAAGGTATTTCTAGATCTTGGCAGTTTGTTTGATCTGTTGTAAATGTAAAAATATTCTTGAACGTGTTTATATTAAAACACAAAAAAGTGGATTATTGTGAAATTATTTTACTCTTTCAGCCCACGTGAGATCAAATTGGGTTCATTACTAAATCAAGTTTGACATTCCTGCGTTACATGTTCTGTAAGCAGTAATTAGGCCAATATTAAAGTTTACAGTGTTACAGTTATTGCCCTGAAAAAGGCCTGGATTGTAAAACAGAGAAAGGAATGTGAAACAGCACATTTAGCCATGATACCATGATTTGTCCCAGTAGACTGACTATAGACCGTGTGACTGTTAGCATTCACAGCTTCGTACTTATTAAAATCTATAAATAATTATCTGTAACTTACTGAAGATTTATCAGGACATTTTAGCTGCAGTGCTGAACAAGTTTATCAAACCACCTCCAGTGTACCAAAATAACAGTTTGTTTCTGTAACAATTAATCAACCAGTATGCAAAACCTCTGCAATCCAAATTATATTTTTAATGCTAGAATATAATTATCCATGTTATCCATATCCAAATGTTCTCTTTTACAGAAAAGCAGAAAAAATGTAAAGCACAGTAGAATTTTATTACAGTTATTTACTTTCATTCCTGAACAGAAAACACAGAAAAAAAATTGTTTTAGTGGTTATTTGATGGATTAATTTCTGATCTCTGACACAAGTCCAGTGTAAATTTGGGTATAAAAATGTGGATTCAGTTTGTAATTTGCCCGATAAACAGCAATTTCATTATACCGTCATTTAGTTTTAAACAGGCTTTTGACAGATTTCTCAAGTCTTTGTTTTCTTCTTGTTGTTTTTTTTAAATGTCAGGTAGTCTAATAAACTTGTTAAGCACACAGATCAAAGTCTTAAACATACCTAAGAATATTTTACAGGAAGTGTTTGATTCTTGTTTTTGCTACATTATCTGATTTAAGTCCAGTTACATGTTTGCTGTAGTTTAAAACCTTGTTAAACTTGTTAAACCTGCTGTACACAAACATTTAACTATCTGTTTTAACCATGCCTGTATACACAGCTGTTAACTCTCTATTTGCCTCACAGTTAGACCTAAAAGCCACACAGTGTCAACAGAATTGTTGCTGAACAGTTTATTCAGCTGTAAATCTGCTTCAACCTGGCCAACAGATGGGCAAAGTTGAACCACAGTTGAAACTATTTTATTGAGTTTCATCTCACAGTAAAAACTGCATAGATCACAAGGAAGCAGAGGGTTAGGGCTGGCAGCTCCACACAGCACAAAAAGGAGGACTTCTCACCATCTGCAGACTCTTCTTATTTGAACCCTGATTCACTGTTTTGTTGCCAAAGTAAATACAATGGCGTCGACCCATGTAAGACACAAAGCTCCTGCAGGTGAAGCATGGACATTGAGTACTCAAAAAACATGAAGAAAATGAGAGAACACAATCACATTAACAACTAATGGATGCATGTGAATCTTACTGAAGTCATATGAGAGTTGCTAACAGGTGGGATAAAAACCTAACTGTGACATGCGTGTAATTATCTGACAGCTGACAAACCTAAACGCTGTCCACATATTATCTATTTTTCTTTTTATCAGTCTCCTACTATTAGCTGCTGTCCCTGGTTCTCAGTTCATTTCCAACAAATCTGATGTTCATCCACTCATGAAGTTTTGTTTGTGTGAAGGAGTGGGCTCTGCTATGGATCAGTGTGAGGACAGAGAGGAGGGAGTCCCCCCCTCTAAAACCGCTCTGTGTGGGGAACATGAGAGCCAGACCAAAGCTCAGAGGTAAGATGCCCATCTTTAACTGTCCATGACTCTTCTCCATGTCACAGCTCAGCACTCACATCACTGCTCCATCATTATTCACAGGAACCAACCTGGACCTGGACCCAGCTGTGTGTCCTTAAAGAGCAACGATTCAAAAGAACTTGCGACTGATTTCAAACAAAAAAGTTCCTCCAGTAAAACGTGAGTTGTTTTCAATATTAACTGATTTAAAGAATTAACTTCAAATCCACATATGACGTTTTTTCATGCAAGGCTATTTATTTTTAGGATCCATCAGATGCTGAATTCTCCGAGACCTGAACCCAGCTGTGTGTCCTCAAAAAGTGAACGGCCAAATAATTTAAACACCAGTTTTAGACATACTGCCAAAAAGTAAGTTACCATAATATGAAAATGAATATTTTACATAAAAGTATATGATTGTATAGGCTTAATAGAACAGCATTGATCACAGAGTCGACTCCTCTGAAGCTGAATCCAGCTGTGTGTCTGTGAATAGCAGCCAGTTGAAGAAGCCACTGTGACATTTTACACAGAAACCTTCTTCACAGGCAAAGTGAGTTAACCCCTCTGTGATGGCGAACCTCCTGTGTGTACAGAGTTTGTGAAAGATGTTCTGAATAACTCTCTCACAAGTACTTTCAACACTAAAACTACAAATAGATTTGTAAAATTTGACAAATAGATAGATTTAGTGTTATATGTGCCACTGTTTATATCTTCCAGGAGAGTATATGTGCTTTAATGAATGCACAAAGCTTTCTGTTATCTTATTTTACAAGATCCACAAGAGACTGGAGCATTAAACTTAGAACTGCTAAAGCTTTAGCTCCAGTTTGGGCTAGTTTTCACTAGTATTTTGATCCTACATTGGGCCACTATTTGCTGTTTTAGTTGCACATTGACACATTTTTTTTCAAGTGTTCAAATCTAACCCACAATAAAAGAAAGACAAAAATTTAAGCAAGATTTGGTCTAAAGTCAATAAAAGTCAGGAACAATGATTTACAGTTTTTTGCATACGCTATTGGATTCTTGAGTATTTTACTTGTACACCTAATTAATTATTATGACAAATGTAAAAGACCTGATGACTTTCAAACAAGTGACTGGAATTAATTCATACTTTCAAAATAAACAGAAAACTTACAAGTGTCAGAAAACGTTTGCATTTTCTCCGAGAGATAATGGTTATTATTTTGCTACACTGATGTCATTACTTCAATAAGATTATTTTGTGTCCATTAAACACTAATTAGTTTCCTCAAAATAACGCATCATTTTGTTGCCATCACAATATGAAAGTAAAAATAACAAATTATGTCCTATCTTCACAATTAGAAGTCACATTATTCACTAAAAGTTCTTTTGTTGCTGCTGTGAAGGCGAAATGCAAAATCCTTCAAAGTAAAGGGTCGTCAATTTTTTTTGTATTGTTTGGCAACTGGCAACCTGTAGAATATTCAAACAGTGCATTTAGACAGAAAGTCAGACATAATAGAAGCTAAAGGAAGACAGTAAATCTGTGTTGATTTCTGCTTTTTTTGAGCAGCCGAAGTTTGGTCAGATTTTTGTTCAAATGTTTAGTTCAAGTTTATATCAAATATTAAATAATAGTTTATGTTTTTACAGGATGCATCAGGAGAGCTCAGAGGTTCCTAGTGGTCAGTCTGAACAGCAGGATCAAAAACACCTGGACTCCATATTTAGGGTCTGTACATGAACAGAAACGTCCTTCACTTGAGCTACGAATCAAACAGGACTGTGTACTAATATAACATCAAGCAGCACATGTCTGTGAAGGTTCTCGGTCATCCAGTCATCATAGTCTAAAGAGCTTGGAAGGAAAGCATCTGGACTTCCTTAAATTTCAAGAAGATGAACAAGCCAAAAGGGCTTAGGGACACTCCCAACAGGGCTTAAAAATCTGGGACTCTCTCTTGCTCTTAGAACCGAAGAAGCTTCTCGGATGAGAGTTGAAACGTCTGCAAGAAACTTCAAGAAGTCCAGATTGTGTCCTTCCAAGCTCCTTATACATCAAGTAGCGCAGTTTCATCAGATTAAATCAAATTCTTGTTGACGTAATTCAGTTCAACAAAATTCTCTGGCATTGTTAATATGAAATCATAAAGAGGACAAACCTAAAACTCTACAGTAACACCTGTTCTCAGTGTTGTATTGTATTTGACTGACTGACTAGCTTATGTAAAGCTGTGTAGTCATTATTTCTATACATCCAGTATAGATGAAGTGGCAGGCTTTGTAATAAAGTTCCTTTATAGTAATTTGTAGGCCTGTAGTTTGAAATTCTGTACAAGACCAGATACGATGTTTCTGGTAATTATACGATTCATGTTAAAAAATATATATAGTATTCTGTTCTAGTTGCTGGAAGAAAACATCATCACTTTTGTGAAGAATGAACTGAAGAAGATCCAGAAAGTTCTGAGTCCAGATCATCCAGAATGTTTAGCGAGTCAGTGGAAGGATAAGGAGATGTTGGAGGGTGAAAACCAGAAGAGGAGCAGCAGAGAAGCTCTTCTGAAGATGGTAGATGACTTCCTGAGGTGGATGAAGCAGGAGGCCTTGGCTAACTCTCTACAAAGAAGTAAGAACATTTTCTATAAAGATCAAGTGTAGTGTCCAGATCAGACATGTTTTTTTCCAACTAGGTTCATAAAAAACCAACACCTGGCTGCTATCACATTATGTCCCACTCCCACCACTCATTCCACGTCTGGTTATAAAGTTCAGACTGTGTTCTGGTGTATGTTTGTGATTTCCTCAAATCCACTGTAAATCTCAGCTTTTGTGACCTCACTTCATCAATGAAGAGTGAGAGGTGTTACCAGGAAGAAAACAGTTTTTAAGAGTCTGGCTCAGGCAGTATTTACAGTCCTGAGCAGCACCGTCATTGCAACCCTACAAGCGCTTGTGGCAGGGTTTGGGAAAACACGGGTGTCAAATGGTCTAATCTTCACCTGAAATTTCACTGGCAAACCATATTTTTCATCTAATCTTTGTTTTGGACCATAAAATTATTTTACCCATATCCTTTTAAAGAGACCAAATAATGTTTTAACATGGTCTTGCTAAACATGCATAATTTAAGATTTAAATTTCAGAAATAAAATTATTTCCCAAATATCAAAAATCACCTTGGTTGAAATTATGAACCTGGATACTAATAGCAAACTGTGCATCTTTCCAGAGAAGAGAGGCCAGAAAGCTGAAGGCTCTGCCTCCCATTCTACCTTTAAATACTCTAGGAACCACAAGTAAGCCCATCAAATTTTCTAGATTTAACTGGGAGTCAATGAAGAAAAGCCAATATGAGAGAAATATGCTCTCTTTCTCTCTAGCTCCTGTCAGTGCAGCATTGTGGATCAGAATGTTCTCCAAACATTAGAACCAAAGAGCCCTAATTTTGTCTTATCTGACCTTAGGATGTGGTTTCAGTATGGATAGTCTTTTTCCAGGTTGTGCTTAACATACTTCAGTCTGGCTTGAAGATGTCCAGTCCAATTCAGCAGAAGTGCAGGTTTTCTTAGTCTGCCACTAATTATTTGGGTTTCACCAATGACTGTATAGGCGTTGGCTGAATAGCAGTGGTGCCGGTCAGAACTAACAGGAGTTCAAATTAGGTTCTTCCTTCTTTACTGTCATTCGTTAACACTACAGCACAGTAATGCAACCACAGGCTTACAGATGGGGCGTACAAGGACTCGTAGGTGCGGGAGTGGATGTCTGTGGTCTATAAACAAAACATATACAAAAGTGCTGAGTATAATAAACAATCAAATCATGAATTGTGCATCATTCACTGTCTTCCAGTATAACCAGATAAACCAATAAACATTGCACTTCTACATAAGCTGATTCCCTAAATGACATAAAAGGCCCAAGACTGTCCTTTCCAGACACCAAGTAAAATTCAGGGTGGTATCGACGATACCGATCCGATACCGATCCGATACCGATACTCTGTACAAAAACTTTTTTTATTTATTGTATCTTTTATTGTATCTCAAATTATAGCGTCATAATGATTACGTCCACACATGACTCCGTTTACACTCAGCCATTGTTGTGAGTGCGCACGCCAGGGGGTGGAGACATTTATATAGCCGTATTTCGCACATGACTATAAAAGGCGTAAGAGGAAGTAGTTCCTTCCAAAGTAGACAATCCGAATGATATAGCTTCTTTCCACTGTGTTCCTGTTAATGATAAACTACAAATTTACCCTAAATTACTAAAATATCGATATTTTAATGTGAGGATCGATTCTAGAATATAAATGACTGGTATCGGAGGAATCGATATTTCAGTATCAATCCGCACATCACTACTTTGAAATCTTTCATTCTTACTATTAGATACTATTATTAAATACTATTAGAACTTTGTATATCAATATCTTGGAGAGTGTCAACAATTCTTTCAATCAAGTCTAAGCTGTTTCTTTTGTCTTTGGTATGCTTCCTCAAGTGACATCTCGAAGCCTTGCTGTGGTTCTTACATTTCGTGCAAATTAGAAGAGGATCCTCAATTTTAACTGGATTTTCTAAGCTGCGAGAATTACAACGTTAATGCTCAAAAATCGTTTTTCAGGGGGTTAATAATATTGAGCCTAGTAGTTTGTTTGTTTTTTTCTGAAATCAGTCTGAAATTGTGTACAAACATAAATCATTCCTACTTTCTAACAAGAAGTAGTATGTTGAGAAATGTTATTTTGAAAATCCCACTTAACCCTTTTAAGCATAGTGGTCACTATAGTGGACAACTATTCAAAGGCTGTTTTTTTTGTATGTGTGTTAGTGTTAATGGTATAGTTGCACATAAACCACTACATTGGACACTTATGTGTCAGTCCATACCCTGCCACTCACTGGTCAGCCAGTGGGTGGCAGTCAAGACATCACAGAGCCTCTACATATATTTGTTACATTTGTTATATTGTTATAAAATATATTTAAAATATATAAAAACATATTTTGTTATGTTATAGTTTTTATACAGTGTATATTATTTATTTGTTTGTGAAAGTCATAAGTCAAAACCCATGTTGTCCACCTAAGGGGACATGTAAAAAACTGAAAAGTTCAAAAATCTTTTTTTCATGCCTAAAGATGAATAAAAATACTTTTAAAAAATCCTGATTGAGGTTGTCATATTTCATGCATGAAATGGTCAAAAAAGCAATTGGGAAAGTTAGGGGAGTTTTTGATAAAGACTTTGATAGGTGGGGAATAATTTTGCCTTCATCTGTATGTGAGTCGTCCTGTTAGAGAATTCAGGATGTTCCAGCTTTTCTCTTCTTTCAGTATTTTCTGAAGAAAGGCATTGTTCGGATATTAACAAAACATCTTTGGTCCGAGCATCACTTACATAAAATGGTGCATAGCTCTTAATGACATTCATGGAGCTATATTTTTTTGTGATCTTGGAAGCCATACTGATGAATCTTCTCTCATGAGCTTCTCATTCTACAGATGCTCTCTGTGCCAAGTATTGCAGCCTGGTGCTATGCCTTAAGTTCGTTCAGCACCTTCCTCCTCAGGTGAAGTACCCAGAATCATCTCACCTGATGTTTGCCTTTTCTGCTCACACTTTGCCCATCTGGTCCTACAGATTCCCACTAAGTAGTTACACTACTGCACTTCTGTGGCAGTTTGAGCTGATTTCCCGATCTTTACAACACTTTCTTTTCATGAACTTATAATGCATATCCTAGGTGGTTGAAGACTGGTTGGCCTGTGTTTTAGGGAGATCCTGGCATTCAACATATAAGAATAGGTGGGGGGGGAACAATTTTCTTTTTTTTCTTCACTGTGTCAGTGGATGTATTGTTTTGGTTTTGGGCTGCTAGTCCATTGCCTAGCCTCTCTTATCTAGGGTTGGGATGTGAAATGTCAGAGTTACATCTTCTACATTAATATCAAATGCTCAAATTTATGGGATTTGTTCTTTGTTCAATCAGGAACTCCAGCTACATGCCAACAACATCTCAAATGTACAATGAAGAAGAGGTTCCAGTGCATGTTTGAGGGGATTGCTAAAGCAGGAAACTCAACTCTTCTGAATCAGATCTACACAGAGCTCTACATCACAGAGGGAGGGACTGCAGAGGTCAATGATCAGCATGAGGTCCGACAAATTGAAACAGCATCCCGGAAACTAGACAAACCAGAAAGAACAATCAGGCAAGAAGAAATTTTTAAAGCCTCACCCGAAAGAGATGAACCAATCAAAACAGTGCTGACAAAAGGAGTGGCTGGCATTGGGAAAACAATTTTAACACAGAAGTTCACTCTGGATTGGGCTGAAGACAAAACCAACCAAGACATCCATTTCATATTTCCATTCACCTTCAGAGAGCTGAATGTCATGAAGGAGGAAAAGTTCAGCTTGGTGGAACTTATTCATCACTTCTTTACTGAAACTAAAGATGCAGGAATCTGCAGCTTTGAAGACTTCAAGGTTCTGTTTATCTTTGATGGTCTGGATGAGTGTCGACTTCCTCTGGACTTTCAGAAAACTGAGGTCTTGACTGATATCACAAAGTCCACCTCAGTCGAAGTGCTGCTGACAAACCTCATCAAGAGAAAACTACTTCCATCTGCTCGCCTCTGGATAACCACACGACCTGCAGCAGCCAATCAGATCCCTCATCAGTATGTTGATATGGTGACAGAGGTCAGAGGGTTCACTGAACAACAGAAAGAGCAGTACTTCAAGAAGAGATTTCAAGATAAGAAGCTAGCTATCAAAATAATCTCCCACATCAAGACATCACGGAGCCTCTACATCATGTGCCACATCCCAATCTTCTGCTGGATCACTGCGACAGTTCTGGAGGATGTGCTGAAAACTAGACAGGGAGGACAGCTGCCCAAGAACCTGACTGAGATGTACATATATTTCCTGGTGGTTCAGGCCAAAGTGAAAAAAGTCAAGTACGATGGAGGAGCTGAAACAGATCCACACTGGAGTCCAGAGAGCAGGAAGATGGTTGAGTCTCTGGGAAAACTGGCTTTTAATCAGCTGCAGAAAGGAAACCTGATCTTCTATGAATCAGACCTGACAGACTGTGGTATTGATATCAGAGTAGCCTCAGTGTACTCAGGAGTGTTCACACAGATCTTTAAAGAGGAGAGAGGACTGTACCAGGACATGGTGTTCTGCTTTGTCCATCTGAGTGTTCAGGAGTTTTTGGCTGCTCTTCATGTTCATCTGACCTTCTTCTGCTCTGAACTCAATCTTCTGGAAAAACAAACACCCTCCAAAAAGTATGAATCAAGAGAATCTGCAGAGACACATTTATATCAGAGTGCTGTGGACAGCGCTTTACAGAGTCCAAATGGACATCTGGACTTGTTCCTCCGCTTCCTCCTGGGTCTTTCATGGGAAACCAACCAAGCTCTGCTACAAGGACTGCTGACGAAGACAAGAAGTAGCTCAGTGACAATTCAGAAAACAGTCGAGTACATCAAGAATAATATCAGTGACAATTTGTCTGCAGAGAAAAGCATCAACCTGTTCCACTGTTTGAACGAACTGAATGATCATTCTCTAGTGGAGGAGATCCAACAGTCCCTGAATTCAGGAAGTCTCTCTAGGGATGAACTGTCTCCAGCTCAGTGGTCAGCTCTGGTCTTCATCTTACTGTCATCAGAAAAAGATTTGAATGTGTTTGATCTGAAGAAGTACTCCCCCTCTGAGGAGGGTCTTCTCAGGCTACTTCCAGTGGTCAAGTCCTCCAAGAAAGCTTTGTAAGTACATAAATCTTAGTTGCTGGATTTTCTACAAACAGCAGGAGAACAAGTTAGTAGAATTAGTTAACGTGTGTCAGTAAGTGGATCGTTTTACTGATCATTTGTCCTCTTTTTCTTAAAGAATGAGTGGCTGTAACCTCTCAGAGAAAAGCTGTGAAGGTTTGTCCTCAATTCTCAGCTCCCAATCCTCACATCTGAGAGAGTTGGACCTGAGTAACAATAACCTGAATGTTTGGGGAGTGAAAAAGCTTTCTGCTGGGCTGGAGAGTCCACATTGTAAACTGGAAACTCTCTGGTGAGATGTTTATTATTTGAGCTACGATACCTAGAAGCAGCCTGATGACAACAACAAAGAAACATTTTCTCTCTTGCTATGCTTGCTAACTAGTCAAAAAAAAGTGCATTCAAGACCTCATTCTCCTGTAGGGTAAAGCAATTTGAGTCATGGAGGACATGTGCTTTATTCAGTCTTAAGCAACTGTTAGTAATGTCTTGAGTTTTCAGGCTCTTTAGTTTTAGAATTCTATTAGTATTTTATTAACACATTTTCAATGAAAGGAAAAGCTAATTGTCACAATTTAAATTAAGAGTTATCATCATTTTAGCCATAAGTATGCTGTTCTCTAATACCATTAAATTGTACACTGGCATTCCCACATGAACTGACATGTATCTCATTTTGCTTGTCTGCAGTCTGTCAGGCTGTCTGATCACAGAGGAAGGTTGTGCTTCTCTGGCCTTAGCTATTCATTCCAACCCATCATCCCATCTGCGACAGCTCGACCTGAGCTACAATCATACAGGAGACGGGGGGAAGCTGCTGCTATGCGGACTTGAGGATCCACTCAGGAGACTGGAGACTCTCAGGTATTTGGGTGATCTTGTTACTAACATTATAAACACATCACTTTATAATATAAAATGATAGGATGATCTGAATTTGTCTAAACGTATCACTTTAGCTTGGAACCGGTTGGTGTCGAGTGGTTGATACCAGGTCTGAGGAAGTGTAAGTATGTTTTTGTTTTGTAAAATCTCGAATAAGTTTTTCCCTCAAAGTAGTGACAATTTTCATCGATATCCAGATGCGATGCAGCTCAGCAGTGAGTAGAATTGAAATTAGTTTGTATTTAAACCAGAGCATGTGATATGATTAAGAAATTTCAATCAGTCAGGTGGTTTTTAATCACAAGATAAACAGTATAAATAAATAGTTTTTATTGGGTGGTGGTTCTTTATTCTTGGTATCTGGATTGGTGGACTACCGATACGCCAACAATGTGTTACTGGCTGTCAGGTTGTTGGCTGAAATTCAGTTGGCACCAGAATATGTGAATACTGGAACACCACAGTAGGTTCTACATTACAGACAGCATTAGGTTCACTAGAGGGAAGATATGACTACTGTTGCAAGATCAAGGTTATAAATTTGCACTCATATCCACTCTGCACAGATACAGTACATCCTCTCTTCCAACAGCTAGTTTAATGTTTAGTTTCATGTTGTGATTTTTAGTTCGTTTTGTGATGTTTATTTCTGTGAAGAGTTTTCCCAGCAATAAAGCTGCGCTTTAAGTTAACTTTCCTTTTCTGAGTCCTGCATTTGGGTACACATCCTGCCAGCCACACAGCACTCATCATGACATCATGGAGCTTTATTTCGAGTTAGTTGTAATTTAATTTCTTTTATTAAAGCACTGGACCAGATCACACTGCAATAGTTAGGCTGTGCCAGAACTTTCTTCTTGGCTCTTGACGGAGGTGGTCGCACTTTTCTCTCTCTGCCTCTCCCTCTCCCTTATCTTCCCTTGGCTTCTCATGTCTTTGTATAGTCTCGCTTATTCTCTAACCCTAAGAGAGTCTCCCAGACTTGTTCTTTTAAAAACCTAAAGAAGAATTATGGATTTGATCAACTGGTCCCTTAACAAAATTGACAAACTCCTGGGCTTGGTAGAACCCAATTGTCCTGCGGAGATGTTTGCTGCCAGGTACTCGATGGTCTGTTGCGTCGTGTTTCTGGTGATACTCTTGATGGAGAACATCAAACGACATCTACCAATTCGGAACCATGATAACAGAGTTCTGGCTGATTGGAGCTCGCTCGGACCTGGCTTATCGAAGAACAAGAAGCGCCTACAGCTGTTCAAAATCCCACAAGGCTGGCTGACATGATAGACGATGGGCAGGGCTGTGAGTACTCAGACTGTGTTTATTGAACGCAATATGGATAACATCTTGGAGAAGAAAAACGGGAATTGAGAGATATGTTGACCAGTGATGGACATTAGACCTACTGTAAAATTGGAAGCAGTTTGTTCGCACTACCATCTTCATCTCATGCGGCTCCCCTGGCACCAGCTGGATGCTCAAGGCAAAAGCTGACAGGAATAACAAAAGTTCTCCCTTAGATAACAAGACTGTGTTGTGACTCTTCCCCTTCCATCAAGGAAACCCGCGTCGACCGAAGACTGTTGACAGTTGCCTGAACACGGAACACACACACACGCACACATACGCATGTACACTGACACAGACCTACACTTCGAAGCTTATGTCTTCTGTGTTGTGAGATGTGCTGATTTATGTGCTATGTGCTGAGGTGGGGTTTTTCCTTCCTTGTGTTGTGTATTTTCCATTGTTATACCTCTCTGACCTGTCTTCCCCATGTGATGTTTGTGTAATGTATGTATGGTCAGAAGGGTAAGATGGCGCTGACCAGGCTTGCAGCCTTAACCCACCCAATCAATCAACTAACCTCTTGTCACCACTGACAGACCGCCACTCATTTTACTTACATAATCAATATGTTTAGACCGTGTTCATTTACAATCCACCATTAAACCTCATAGTTTTGTGTCAAACAGATAAATGTTAAAACACAGCTTAACTGCAATTCTTTTTTCTCCATCAGATTCCTGTCAACTCACAATCGACACAAACACAGTAAACAGAAAACTCCAACTATGTGACAACAACAGGAAGGCAACCCATCTGAAAGAGGATCAGTCATATCCTGATCATCCAGACAGATTTGAACGTTCTCAGCTGTTGTGCAACAATGGTCTGACTGGTCGTTGTTACTGGGAGGTCGAGTGGACAGGAAGGGTTGATATTGCCGTGAGTTATAAAGGAATCAGAAGGAAAGGAGACACAAACCACTCATGGCTTGGAAGGAATGATCAGTCCTGGTGCCTGGGCTGCTTTCATGATGGTTACTCTTTGTGCCACAACAACAGTGTAACATTCAGTCGTCTCCCCTCCTCATCCTCTGTCTCTAACAGAGTAGCAGTGTATTTGGATGCTGCTGCTGGCACTCTGTCCTTCTACAGAGTCTCTTCTGACAGCCTCAATCACATTCACACCTTCAACACCACATTCACTGAGCCTCTTTATCCTGGGTTTGGGCTTCAGAATGACACCTCACTGACTATATGTGACTTAAAAGAAGACAGAGAAAAACTCTGAAATCATCTACAACAAACATTAGCAATAAGCTGCAATAGTATTTTTTTTTTCAAAAGAGAACAACAGGCAAAGCTTTGTTACTTTAAAATCCTCCTGATACGGCTGCTCCTTTATCTTTAGCTGTGGCACCAAACAGAAATGGCAGTGTGTGAGGACTGTCCTGGTATCAATCTGTCCTTCTAGAGACTCATGGCCTGATATCCTCATCCACATTCAGGCCATGAGTATCACAATAGCTGAGCCTCATTAGTTTGGTTTTAGGTTTCAGAATGACACTTCAGTGTATTTAAAAGATTTTAAGATGTTTTAATAATTAGATATGATGGTTCAACTGTGAGTGCCAGCATATCCAATGAACAGTACTGGCTTTTTGTTATGTGCCTGCTGTGTTTTATGGAGGAGCTGTTAAAATAAGAAGACAACCAACTCTTTTATTGTTTACCAATAATTTTAGAGCTGTTTTATAATGAAAGTCTGTTGTTGGTGTTTTTGAAAAATACATAAATACGTATGTTCATACATAAATTGTCAAAACATGAGCTTTGACAATTTATGCAGAAAGCCAGCAGATGAAGCTCTGAAACAATCGAGCTGCACTAGTCCTCCCAAACAAATGATCCCAGAAATGTTAGAATAAGTATGCAGTCTAGTAAACTCTGCTTTTCAATGGCTGAATCATGGGTAACTGTGGCGTAACACCACAAAAAGTTAATCTCTGCATCAGAACTTCAAGTGCAATACTTTGATTTAAAAAGAAATAACTTGATGTTATTTAAGATTATGTAGGGTTTTTTGTTATGGATGACGTTATATAGTTTCATGTTTATTTTATTTATTGAGTTTATTGTTTGAGCTGGATTAATTCCACACTCTGCAACAAGCTTACGTGCCATGCTGTCTAACCACCACCGGAGGGTAGTGTTGGCCTCCATGGGAGTGGGGTGGGCTAGGAGAGATTCAGCTTTGTATTTATTATGTCCTGTTAAATCCTAAACGACTTTTATATTACAATGATCAGATCTGAAAGAATATGAATGAATGAATAAATAAATAAATAAATAAATAAAAGGACTCAACTTCTTTATTACTCAGATGCAATGAGAAACACCTGTCACTGTAGGGTTGAAAAAAAAAAGTTTTAGTCTCATTTCAGGTTGGTTTGTGAAGTATGTGTGACCACAAGCTGAACACCACTGGAAGACTTTCACCTCAGTGTCAGCAGGTAAATATTTGATGTGTGAGCTGTCCTAAGTCAGGCAGAAGCCAGATCAATACTAAGAGGTTGCTGCATGTCTCTTTACCTTCATGTTTTTATTTAACCACTCCTGCTTCTTCTTCCCAATATGCTGTTTGCTATATGAGCTCATAACATGTTCATTGAGACAAGCTAAAGCATTAGATTCTGAACATGACCTCTGACCTCAGCAGCAGCCTTTATTTACACAAGTGACGTATGTCTGAAAGGCTTAGGAACAAAAGTTCGCTCAGTCAACACCGACCTCTGAGTCAAAAAAGAAAAAAACTGGTGCAAACCACAAATGTAATATAATTGAGTTTAGTACCAACAGCAGACAGAAATCATGTAATGACCAAATAACATTTTGAGGTGAACGTCAAAGGTGATTAGAGCATGACATTTTTTACACTTAGTATTTTAACTTTTCTTAAATTATCTGGACAACTGTGATATATACAAATATATACGAATACTGTGAAAAATCAAAATTGTCTGAATATGTTTTCTTGTTTATGTTTTAAAATGTCTTTAAAGTTACAAACTGTAGTTTCACACAGAATATATTTCAACATGAATCCACACAGATTACAGCAAATGTTTGACAGCAGCACAAACTGCACCCTCTGATGGGACCATGGAATTACACATTCACTGTTACTGCAAACTGAACGTCCAGCCATTTTCTGAACTGATTGACATATTGAGGTTCTGAGAAGGGTTGGAGACTGTCCCTGTTGGTGAGAGAGGTGACCTTCAACTGATCTCCAGTCACCAATCATCAGACGTTGAAAACCGATTGATGGTGGTCTTTTCTTGATGTCCTGCTATGGTTGAAACATTGACTTACTGGAAGGCAAAGAGCTAAGGGGCGTTTCCACACCCAAATGAAAGTCTGATGTCAAAATGAGTATTTATTTGAAATGTAACATCTAGTTTCTGGAGTGTTGCTTACTGAGCACATGGCCAAAACAAAAACCCATTGTAGCCCTAACACGTATTAACTGTGGGTGGTGATGCCTAACTCCATACTTGTGTTTTAGAGAAAACCAAAACAGGTCTGTGAAGTAGAAATTTGGGGAACATCTTTGTATTGCGTAGGGTTCGGGTTTGTGTCATCACCGATAATGAACTTGACCTAGCTTTTAACAAACTCTTATTATTTTAAATGTTGAATCATTTTTGTGTATGATGGGTGTACAAGGACCCAACACACTCAATGGTTGACTCACTGATTTGCACTTTGTCTTTGTGTGTGCAACTGACAATAATCTCCTCTCAGCCCAGATGTCCGTCTCCTCCGTCTCCGCTCGTCTCTTCCTCCACTATGAAAAGAAATGGAGACTGTCATCAGTCATAACGCCACCACCTGTGGCCTCACCTGCCTCCCAGCACCGCCCCCTTGAGCTCACTGCACCACTCCTCTCCTGCAACTGATCCAGGGACCACACCTCCACCACACTGGGTTTGGACAGAACAATGACTGACTTTAGGAACCCAAGACTGTGATAACATATGTCGTCACAAAAAAATGTTTTTTTCTGAACGGTATATTTTTGATAAATTTTCATGTTTTTAGGGTGCTGAATCCAAAAATGAGCTCTATTTTCCTCCATCAAGTACATTTTTCTTTTGCAAAACATTAAGACTTTACATTAAAAAAGCGAAAACAGCAATGAAAATTTTTTTCCCAAGGAACAAAATAAACCTGTTGGGACATCATCCACTGAGCTCCTCACGCCAAACCCACCCCACCTCCCCCTCCTACTGACCCCACTTAATTCCTCACATTTCAATTTAAAAAGGTAAATTGGATGCTTAATTAAATCAAAAACTTGAGTTCTGCAAGAAAAACTGACAAAATGGAATTATTAAAATATTTTTCCTGGTTTAAGTGACTAAAGATCCACAAGAAAGAAAAAAAAAGAAATGTACCAAAGATGGTATTTTTAAGACTTTTTAAGATTTTTTTAGGGACTTGTTACACTTGTTAATTGTGACTTGTATGTTCATATGTTTTGTTTTTTTTACCAAACAATAATTCAGTATCAACAAAACTGATCTTGGGTTGTGTTAAACTGCAGCAGTATTAACTCACAGTAGGACTCGAGTTGTTGAGAAAAAGTAAACATGTAGGTTTAAACATAACCGACTCATCAGTCTGGCTCAAACTTTGACCCTTTGGTCAATAATCCCCCCCTCCAGAGGACGGACAGAGAGACATAGACGGGCAAACAAAGAAGGACACACTGAGTACTGCTGGATCTGGTTCTGAGGTTCTGCTTACAGGTCTGAATCATAATGGAACCAACATCAAAACCTGCTGCTGTTCTGCTGCTGTTTCTCCTGCACAGCTGTGTGGCAAACCATGGTAATGAACTCCTTTCTT